ATCTGGCTTTGACTCGGATATGTAAACTAATTAATGCGTTCGGGACCGATCGACTCAATTCTGCGATGCTATTTTGTTTTCAGCCAATATGAAGATCATTTACAGGTCTAATCGTCTGCGCATGAGGTTTAAAGTTCAGCCAAACAATAGATGCTCTTTAGATACAAGAAAGAATATTGTAGCAAGCAAATATGTGATTGTAAATTTAAAGAGAATATTCTGTTTACTAATTTTGGCTAAAACAGTCGATGGCTTGTGGAATACACGCGATCAAAATGAAGTCTGCATACAGCAATATAGACGGTTTCAGATAGTTTCATTGTTAACAAAACTTAAATTTTGTGGTGAAAGATACCCTAACCAACATTGATAACAAGTGAGCGCTGTCCTTCCCAAAACTCTCTATCATTTTTCGCTCTCAATTTCGCTACAAGTTATTATTGAAGAAAACAATGTGTGATCAGAGTATAGTTTCGCTTTCAATTTAATTCTCCTGAACGAAAGGGTAATTTATATTCTTCAGAGGTCGATGTTAGCTGGACTATTAAAGGGGCGTTAACGGGCTAGGTAACAAAAACACTTTGTAAAAAGGTATTCAAAGTGTTCAATCGATATGATCAGTGAGATAGATCTCAGCGGATTTAACGATCAGGAACTTTCTATAAATCACAGTCGTTATTAAGGTTATTCCCCTGAAATAAAACTGCACATAGATTTTTGTTCAAACTTGGTCCAGTGAATATTTATCACATGAGACCTTTAATTATAGAATAAAAAAGAGGGGTGCCATGCTCGTTAAGGAGCAGTGAGGCACTGAAAATGTCCCATTATGGCGTTATTTAATGCTTATTACAAGAACGCATTCCAAGCTATTGTGAACTCTTTGTGAGCCTAGACTCATAAAAACACGCCTCAAACTACAGTCAATACTTGTGTCGGACACAAACAAACTTTTTAAGTTTGATTTTGACAGACAGCTGAATCCTTGTTAAAATATTGGAACCAAATTGCTTGCCACGGNTTTTGGCTAAAACAGTCGATGGCTTGTGGAATACACGCGATCAAAATGAAGTCTGCATACAGCAATAAAGACGGTTTCGGATTGTTTCATTGTGAACAAAACTTAAATTTTGTAGTGAAAGATACCTTAACCAACAATGATAACAAGTGCCAGTGAACGCCTTCCTTCCCAAAACGCTTCATCATTTTTCCCTCTCAATTTCGCTACAAGTTATTATTGAAGAAAACAATAAGTTGTTAAGTGTTGTTTTTGTTTCTCAGTTAGTAAAACAATATGTCATCAGAGTATAGTTTCGCTTTCAATTTAAATCTCCGGAACGAAAGGGTAATTTATATTCTTCAGAGGTCGATGTTAGCTGGACTATTAAAGGGGCGTTAACGGGCCAGGTAACAAAAACACTTTGTAAAAAGCTATTCGAAGTATTCAATCGGTATGATCAGTGCGATAGATCTCAACGGATTTAACGATCAGGAACTTTCTAGAAATCACAGTCGTTATTAATAGCTACAATGAGCGGCAAAAGTCTCGGGACATTTAGCGGCAAAATTCGATTTTCGAGCGTCTTGCAAACATTTCCCTCCCTTTCCCACCAAACAATGTTGTTTTTTGTCTTTCTAAGACTGCACAGACCACAGCGCCCACACAACATCGAATTGAGGGGCTGGGAGTATCAGAGAATTAACCACGCCAGATTTATATAAAATAGAATAAGAGGTTAAACACCGAAAAGCGTCATTTT